GGCGCAGGTAGGCGACCGGCGACGGGCGGGCCGGGGGCGCGCGCGGGGGGCGGGGGCCTCCCTCGGCTTGCGCCGTTTTATGTGCCACTTTATAAGCGTTCGAAGGGGTTTATACATCCTATAAGATTTCCCCGGCCGTTGTAAAGCGTGTTTACGATAGGAAACCAATTGAGGTGGGCTTAAGGTAGACTTCGAGGAGGACGTGCATCGCAGCCGAGCGCTTTGGCCCAGTTGTTGGGGGGAGGGGGCCGCTGGAGGCCAGGTCTGCCTTCTCCCGCCCGGCGCTAAAGAAGAAGGGAGGGGAGGTTTCGAGCCATTTTGTGAGTCCGACACCCGAGCCTCAGGCTTTTAAGGGGAGGGGAGGGGGGAAGTTTGATCCTTGAACTGGACTTTATCCAAGCCGCTGGCGGACGCGCGCCGCTGGAGTAAAGCAGATGCCCCGGCGCGCTCGCGTCTCTCTCCCTCCGGGTTCCAGCTCCCGGCCTGCCTCGCCCTGTTTCCTCACCTCGGTGCCAGGCGGGCTATGCGTGTGTGTGTGTGTGTGTGTGTGTGTGTGTGTCCGGGCGTGAACACACGTCCACGCCCGCACTCTCTCCTTCTGCCCGCCCATATATCATCCCCCACGACGCAGGCAGGGCCTTTCAGTGGCGGCAGGGGACGTACCCAACGGGCAGGGGGCCTGGGCCTGGCGCGGTGGCTTGGGCGGGCGGGAGGACAGGGTGACTGGGCAGCGGCCTCCCTTACCCCTCTGGTTTCTTTGCCTTGCAGTGGCCCCCCAACGGTCCCGGAAAAAGCGCTGTCCCTACACCAAGTACCAGATCCGCGAACTGGAACGCGAGTTTTTCTTTAATGTGTACATAAACAAAGAGAAAAGACTGCAACTCTCTCGGATGCTCAACCTCACTGACCGGCAAGTCAAAATCTGGTTCCAGAATCGCAGGATGAAAGAAAAGAAACTGAACAGAGATCGTCTGCAGTATTTCACTGGAAACCCCTTATTTTGAGAGCGCCAGGAAGCGTCCCCCCTGTCCCCCGAACCCCACTCACCCACTCTCCTCCCCACCAGCCTGCCCTCCGCAGGCCCAATGTCCTTGGGTTTAATGACGCCTCTTCTCTGTGGAACTGCACGATTCCGATTCCTTCCCACGGTCAACTCAGGACCTCCCAGCGACCACTGCAGCCTGCGGACGAGGCCGAGGACTTGGCCGAGCGGATCCTAATAAGGGGAAAATGGTAAATGCAAACGTCCCTTTACAATTTTACCGCCAATGTGCTGTTGTTCCCTCTCCCCCCTCCCAGTCCTCGTGGGGACGCGGTGGGATCTGTAGGGAGTTAGGCCGTGGGGCTAGAAGGCGCTGGTGTTTTGTTCTGAGTTTAAAGACCCCCTCCTTCTCCTTCGATGAACGCAGATTATTTAAACTCTGGGAAATGTATCTTTGGTGTGTCCTATCAAGGCATGAGCCACTGTCTTTTTTGTGTGAATAAATGGTTTCTAGTAAAATGAAGGTTACAGCTTCAATGCACTGTATGAATTTTCCTCTTTGAAGAAGTTTAGTGCCCGATTAGGATATTCTAGTGGGCAGAGTCCCCCTGCCCCATGCAACCAAAAGCCAAGTGAAATGCTTTTTAATCTGGCTAAAATAAGGGCTAGGGGCTTTCCCTCTCCAGGCCAGGCTGGTGTTTATAATCACTTCAGCAATTAACATCCACTGGACGATGTGGCACAGCAAGCTGGTGCTGCCTGCTCCAGGTGCTGAGCTTGGGGAGCAGGACCCTAAGAAGAAATCCCTCCCCCAGCCTTGTGAACTTGGAATTTTGAAAAACAAGAAACAATGTTAAAAACTGGCTAGAAAATCCAAATTCTCACCTAACAGCTGTCAAGAAGCAGAGTCCCTGTAAACAAGAAACCAAAATTAGAACCGTACATTAAAAAACAAAACAAAACGAAAGTTTGCTAAAAGGAAGTGAGTGGAGCGGGGTTGGATTTTTGCTGGTGTCATTTGGACCTGGAGCAAGGAGGGTAAGCAACCCCCAATAGGGCCAGGGGCCACAGACCCGCTTCTCACAGCCTTTATCGCTTCAAGGTAAAGAATGTGGCAAAGGCTGTGCTACACTTTATGTTGCAGGGCCAGGCCAGGCTGTTTACAAAACCTTGAACTGTCTAGACAACACCATAAAAGCCAAAGTTCTAAACAGCTTAATTGGGTTATATTATACACCTTCTGGTGGGCCCAAAAGAGATTTCCGCAATGTGCAATAAACTGGAGGAGTGAGAAAAGCTTTTCTTTCTCTGAAAAAAGTAAAATAGATCTTATGACTCTTAACTTCTCATAAATTCAAAGTAAAAAAATAAATCCATAAGATGCACAAGTTTCCATGCATCTTCTGAAGAGACGTGCATTTCCAATGGAAAATATTTTAAATTGCCAACTCCTTTTTTTTTTTTTTTTGAGAAGGAAAAGCATAAGTGCATAAGTGTATGCCTTTGAACTTCCAAAATGTCAAGGTCATCACCTTTAACCTTTCTGAATAATTAGGCGCCTTAAGGTTCTTCTGTGATTTTCACCCGCCACCCACTCTCGCATACACATGCTCACACACATCCAGACCCACACACACATTTATGGCCACACAGAATCATATCGGGGCTCACCATAAATCCAAGGAAATTCCTAATTTCAGGATCAATAACCTTAATTTCCCTTCAAACATTTGTATGATTCAATAGCAATTCACTTGTTTTTTAAACACAGCTTAGATTAAGCTCTTTTCCAGCAATGTTTTCAATACAGTTAAGAAATTCTGTGGGTGTATTTTTGGGAGTTTTAGATAACGGTTCCCTTTGCTGTAATGAAGAACCAGAGGTTTAGAAGCAGGAAGTGGTAAGAGGGAGTTCTGTTCAGACAAAAACCTTCCTTCTTTTGGAAGTAATTTGTCACCTTGTCAAATAAATTATTGCACTTTCTATGATATGAAACAAAAGAAAACTATATATAATATATATAAAGATATGTGTATGTATATATATA